CAACGCCGGAATTTATCGTGACTAGCCTTGCTTCGTCTATTTTACTCCAGGAGAACAAGTACATACATCCACTAACAACCACGGACTGATATCGGACGTGCCATATGATTAGGAGCGCCACTATGTTTCTGAATAACGAATCGCCGAAACTAGGGATTAACCTTTTTTAACGGAACAACCGTTTATGGGGAAATTAACGGATAAACGAGCTAATCGATCAAGGGTTTTGTCGAGAGCAAAGCCGTATTATGAAGTCCAAAGCAATGGCAATACGGTACCGGAGGGTGATCTACAGCCTATTCTGCGTCTTTTCAGCACGAGTACTATTTTGTGAATATTCACTAAGTTATCTAAAATGCGCAGCCTAACAGCAAAAAGAAAATCCTTGGACATTTCTGAACCGTTGACGTCCTGAGCATTGAAACTACCCCATCCTATATGGCTGAACTCTGAATGAAATTATACCCTCGCGTGCTAAACTTTCATTGAGAGGCCTCTGCTCCGACTTTTTGCCCGCAATTTGAAACAGTCACTTCGGGAACAAGTATCAATCAATATAGCAGATGCTTGAGAGATCGCTTAGGATTTGGTTTCGCGTTCGTTTTCCTGATAAAGCAACAGAAATTTCTCGAAAATAAATAAGCAATTCGGGCTGAACCAGGAACAAAATGAGCAGTATGCACAGGCATGTGATGATCATGCGATCATATATAACAATAGCAGACCATGGGTCTATGAACTGTATAGCGGAAGCAATAAATGATTCTGCCGTGAATTCGCTCTGCTCTAGCCAAATATTGGTTTTTTTCCTATTCAACAGTCGTCAGATACCTCGTGAATCTGTTAAATTAGAGAAATTTTGCCCGCACTGAGTCATATATTATGTGCGAATAGTAAATAAAAGATCTTTGTAAGGCAGGAAAATGCATGTTTACGGGAAGCGTTTGTGAAAATCCGAAAAAAAACCGCTTATAAAGCGCAAAATTTCTGATACAAAATAAAAACGCTAGCTGGGACTCGAACCCTTGACCTTGAGCTCGCGGGACTAGGTCACTATCCGCTGCGCCATCGCAACACCACTAATGACCTCATTTTCTAGCGGCTTTTTTGTTGGTTGCCACTGGTACAAATCCATTTTTATACCGTGCTGCACTATTTTGGGCAAAATACAGTAATACCTTTTAGTTATTTCAAATACAAGCTTACATTTGGCTATTATTCAATTCCCCAAGTAAGTACTTACCGTAAAACATTCTATCTAAGTCTTGCCGTAATTTCAGACACTTTTTCTTTGCGTCTTATGAAAAAAATGGTTCAAATACAACACCTACACCATTTCTAGTGTTGTCTACTACATTAACGAAGGAAATAGTGCAACTAGAATTAGTCGCTAGTAAAATTTGAAAAAAAATCGATGTTACCTAGAAGTAACGTGCAATTGCAAAACCCAAGTCTTAGCGGGGGATTGAACTTGTGACCTCGAGCACATAAGGCTAGCGCGTTACCCACTGCGCTATAGCAAGCGACTTCGGCGTCCCGAGATTTTAGGTGCCCTTCCGTTCGCTGGTAGCTACTTAAGGGGATGATTTATCTTGCTTACGATGAAACTTGGCAAAATTTGATGACATTCCCAATTTATCCGAAGTATGGTCCTGCAAGTGGATCTATTCTCACCACTGGATCTAACATCGGCTAGGAAGGGTTCCTTATCAAGCTTATTTTGACCTGTTATAACTCTATTTCTTTATTTAGGAGTGTAGAAAAGGACGTAGAACGTTGCATGTCTATTACAGTTGATCTTTTTGCCCCTTAGGATAAAACTCATGCCATAGACGACACTCTTCTGGTTCTGTGCACTTCGAACAGATAGGTAGGTAACTGGTACTATCGAACTGGTTTGCAAGAGTGCAGAGAAGCTAAAACGAATTCGCTGGTCCTGTTCTTTGAAGCGATCGTTTCCGTTGATTATACGGTAGCACTGGCTGTGACCTCGATAACTTTGAAAGTTTTTTCATAGGAAAATTTTGGAGTAAAAAGCTTCACGTGGACCAGTGCGTAAGCCCCGCCCATTGTGGGCTTAAATATTATGGCAAATATTCAAGAGTTAAGTATTTTTTTCAAGGAGTAAGAAGCAAATGCTAGGACAACCGCCCTTGCTCGCAAGGACATCAGAAACAAAGAGGTGATTACTCGAAGAGTTCTACATGACCTTCAGAGACACCAAGGGAAGGGAAATCTCCATTAAGGAAGGGGAAAATGGCCGGTTCTGGCGTTTTCGCCGAGTTTTCCCCTAAACAAAGAAAAACTGAGAAAAAAAAANCGAGGAAGCAGGAAGCGACCTTGCAAAAATTGACATCGTTATCAGAAGAGGAAATTTTTTTAAAAGGATTTTGAGATCTCTACCTGAAGTTATTGATTAGATATTATCAAGTATTCACTATCAGAGAGAAGAACACGCGATTTAAGCGTAAAACGTGAAGTGGAATGAAAAGAGCAACGCCCTTTTTCACAGGAACTACAATTAGTGCAATTGCGGTACATATTACTATCGCCCTACCCCACGTGATTTGAGGGTGGAGCGGTAGTAAAGGATACAGGATCTCCGAAAAGGAGTAGTACTAGAAAAATCATAAATTATCGTTCCATGGGATGTGCCATCATTAGACTGCGGTGGGACCTATAGGACAATGTTTTTATGCACTTTACTCACCAACTTCACATTTTTAAAGTTTTATTTTGAAATCTCAAAGAATTTAAAGATCAATGACTTTTTCGCGAATTTATTGTTTTTTCAAGAAAAAAAAAAACAGAAAGAAGCTGCTGTTTTATGTGAACTCTCAATAAATATTTCCCGATTTTTCCTTGGGTCGTTTTCCGGTAGACATGGCAATTTGCCGTGTCTAGCACAAAGGAAGAGACGGAGGGAGTCATTTATATCACAAAAGCTCTGATAACTAAAATAATTAATCTAAAAAATTCAAGTTATTAGCTTTCTACAACTGATTTCTTTAGCTAGACTACAAATCAGGACTTATGACGAACACTTTTAGTTTTAGTAGGAAATTACATGAACTCCTTGGGCAAAAAAAACATCGTTGAGGTTTCCTCAAAAAGTAATCCCAGAAAAATTGACTCCTCAAATTGTTTAAGGGAATGCCTAATATCAAAAGGTGAGAAAGGATGGGATTCTGAAAAAAAAACAATATAAATTGCTTTTTTCGAGCCGCAAGGGTTGATATTAAGAATATCTTAAAAATATATAGGTTCTCCAAAAATTTAGAAACGCCCAAGAAATAAAGGTTATACAAAATTGCTGCTTATTTCTAAGCCATTTTCAGAAGTTCTCCAGTGTAGAAAATGACGAATCTAGGATTAAGCGGGTTGCTAATTCGCTTCAGCTGTGTACAGAGTAACTTATTTGTACTACTAGGCTTAAACCTAGGGCTCCTCTCGGAAATCGATGAGGAGATTTTGAGACCAAAAGACGCTATGTCAGACAACCATCCCAATGGTGTACGTAATACTGTCCAACTACACCATTAATCTACCGTGGAAAGGCGCGAAGATTGACCCCTTCACTAAGCTACTAGAGGGGCGGGTAGATAGCTGCAGAGGAGGGCGGGGCGTAAAATGGAAGGGGTTTTTAAGAACATGGCTTGACATGTCTAAAACAAGTGATGGACAGCGTAAAAATCGAAGTTTCAGGAAGATAACATGTCATAGCTTGTCTTGGATTGGTATGACTTGTAAATGCTAATGAAAATCGATGCCACGTTGAAGATCAATCGGTAGATACAGTAGTATTACTTTGATCGTGAGTAGATCTATTTATAGTCGACGAGGGAAATGCATGTTCACGAGCCGACCGCGTTGCACACGTGGCGTCTCTCCAAGTTCAGTGATCTCTCTAGCTCTGCCTTCTCTGCGTTTCCAGCATAGAAATTCTACCTTCCCATTACGCTCGCATGCGTCGCGGTCGGCTCGTGAACATGTATTTTCCTCGTCGACAGTACATATGATTGTGGAGACAACTGCTGGGCCCTTTGTGCATTGCCTAGCCCGTTCTGGTGATTATTGTTCTCACCATCGGTACCATTTCGAAAACCTCATTACTGACTCGTATGCGCTGCTCTCCTAGTTCAAAAGTGTTCCACCTAAATAATACAAGCTTTGGAAACTTGTCAGCTACCTCAATGCTCGATGGGTGCGGTAGTAATCCTGCTTAAATTAGTACGAAAGGGACAGCAGGGTCAGACATTTGGTATATGGACTTGACCGATCGGTCAATGGTCTGAGGCTAACATGTGGGGAGTTATGATTAAACGCTTCTAAGTCAGAATCTCACCTAGTCAAGGCAGCAATAGCTTTGTTTCCCAGTTTCCCAGTGTCGGGAGGCAACTCTATCTCGTGGTAACATGAAAGCTTATGTCCTAGTATGCGCTACAGCGTGCAAGACGCCTGCGAGTAATCCCACTTGAAGGATGCAGGATGCCTGCGAGAGGACAGGCATGCGTTTTAGATAATAAGAAATTCGGAGAATGAGGAAGCTTTGCTGTAGAGTTGCAAGTTTACATTTAAAAAAANNCAAGCCAGAATCCTAATTTTTAAAGGTTTTACAGCAGTCACTGAAATGTCTGCCTATGGCTATTTCTGTGACATATTTATACTTTAAGTGAAAGTGTAGTCCGGAGAAAAAGAGCTATTGTGACCAGAAGTCAGAAAGGTGCCAGATCTCGAGAGAAAACCGGTTGTTGCACTTTGTAGCCACGTTCCCTTCCCACATTCTTCTTTTTAATGACGGTCATGTCATTGTTCACAGCGTGAAAGAATAAGTACAACCCAGATAACCTTTTAGAATCTGGCATTCACGTCTAGTCTGAGAAAGACAGCTCACTCGAAATGTGAAAATGTTTTGAGCGACATCAGGAAGTTTACAGTTTGTCTTCTTCATTTTTATTTTGGTAAAAAGGAAAACGACAACGAAATTTATAAAAAGAAGTGAAGTTGGGTGAAATGCTGGAAGCTAGATGGGATGATTGAGACACGGAACTCTTAGAAGCATATTTCGCAAAAAAATGACTCTTTCCAATTTTCAAGCAGTCGAGCAGAAGAAAGTGGCACAGTATGTGTACAGAATAGTGTACAAAAAGTCCAAAATAATTTTACAAGGAAGCTCATCCTAAGAACAAGAAATATTACATATCACCAAGTTCCTTCAGCAGAGTTTAGAAATAAAACATTCAGATTACAGTCACTTCTTCTAAGAAGGCGGCAAAACGATCTTCTTTTCTCTATTCAAAATCCTACATGGTATATGCAAACTAAAAACAACAGACTTTTTCATTATTCATAATTCTATAACAAGAGGAGGAGAGCAAAAGCTACAAATAGCTAGAGCAAAAACCACCACTAGGGCATTCTTCTTTAGTTACAGAGTTATTCCAGAATATACGAAATTCAGCAAGTACAGACAATTGCCTAGCAGTTTTTATTCATTCAAAAAAAACTTCATTAGTACCTTGTCTCCTAGTCAGCTAGAGAATTACCGCCATCCAATGACTCTAACCTACTCCGCTTCTTTTCTTACTGTCTTTCAAGTGTCTATCATAAGTTTTGCATCATTTTTTTCCATTTCTTTAATGATGTACATGGTTTACCGTGTAATAAACGAATGAATAATGTGATTAGTATGACAAACAAGTTCTTGAGCCTTTGGGAGAACTTGTTTTTTAATGTACTCCAAATTCTGCAAATCTTAGCTAGTTTTTCAAAGAGCGGAGGCAGCTTATGCCAACTTTATTTTATTTTATTTCATTTTATTTTTACTGCACTTGAGGTGTGCTACATAGTAACAACAAATTACTATGAGTGTGTCGGTGGTTACAAATCAACTAAAAGTGGAAGTTACAAATGCACGGAAATAAAGAGAGTAGTGAATCATGAGCGGTAATTCTACGAAAACTAATAAGGTGAAAGGGAATTTCTTAACTCGTTAGGTTATTCCGTTACTTACAACGACGATTAGTTAAGTAGTAGTAAGCTACCCTCTAGGACTAAAGAGGAGAGATTCGTGACTGAATCTGCTTATATAAAAATATTTGTATAGTCACGAAAATTCGTAAGTATTAACTTATTTAACTTTTAATTACATGCTGTTGAAAATTGAGATGATGTTTAAGTATTTACGAATTTTCATCCCCATGTACTAGAATTATACAAATTATACGTCTTAGAATTATTCTGTGAACTAGAATTATTTAAAAAAATGCTTGAGTTTTTCTTCTACACAGAGGAGGAGGACTGGCTAAAAATAAGAGAAAATAACACCTCAATTGACTGTTCTATCACCCGAGGGAGCTACTATAAACGAGATGTGCAATTAGAAGCTATTTTTCTCTGTTTCATAGAAGGAATCACTGAACACATCAAAGCAGGGTAAACAGAGATCACTAAACAAAGCAGCGGAGATTTGCGATCATCCTGGAAAAAACTAATCCAATTCGGCTAAAGTGATAACCTTGAC